ACGCCTTGGCGTGACCCAATGATGTCTTGGCGTGACCCAATGTCTTGGCGTGACCCAATGACGTCGTGGCGTGACCCAACGCCTTGGTGTGACCCAATGACGTCTTGGCGTGACCCAACGCCTTGGCGTGACCCAGTGTCTTGGCTTGATCCAACCATGTCTTGGCACGGCCCAACAGTTTGCCTTCACCCCACGTCTTGGCTTCACCCAATGTTTTGACCCCACCCAATGTCTTGGCGTGAGCCAATGACGTCTTGGTGTGACCCAACATTTTGGCTTCACCCAGTGTCTTGGCTTGACCCAAGGTCTTGGTGTGACCCAATGACGCCTTGGTGTGACCCAATGACGCCTTGGCGTGACCCAACGATGTCTTGATGTGACCCAACATCTTGGCTTCACCCAAGGCCTTGGCTTGACCCAATGACACCTTGGCGTGACCCAATGATGTCTTGGCTTGACCCAAGGCCTTGGCATGACCCAATGACGTCTTGGTGTGACCCAACATTTTGGCTTCACCCAGTGTCTTGGCTTGACCCAAGGTCTTGGTGTGACCCAATGACGCCTTGGTGTGACCCAATGACGCCTTGGCGTGACCCAACGATGTCTTGATGTGACCCAACATCTTGGCTTCACCCAACGCCTTGCCTTGACCCAACGGTTTGGCTTGATCCAATGACACCTTGGTATGACCCAACGACGTCTTGGTGTGACCTAACGTACTGATTTCAGCCAATGTCTTGGCTTGATCCAACCACGTCTTGGCACGGCCCAACAGTTTGCCTTGACCCCACGTCTTGGCTTCACCCAATGTTTTGGCTTGACCCAATGTCTTGGCGTGAGCCAACGTCTTCAGCCAATGTCTTGGCACGACCCAATGACGTCTTGGTGTGACCCAACGCCTTGGCGTGACCCAATGACGTCGTGGCGTGACCCAACGCCTTGGTGTGACCCAATGACGTCTTGGCGTGACCCAACGCCTTGGCGTGACCCAGTGTCTTGGCTTGATCCAACCATGTCTTGGCACGGCCCAACAGTTTGCCTTAACCCCACGTCTTGGCTTCACCCAATGTTTTGACCCCACCCAATGTCTTGGCGTGAGCCAATGACGTCTTGGTGTGACCCAACATCTTGGCTTCACCCAAGGCCTTGGCTTGACCCAATGACACCTTGGCGTGACCCAATGATGTCTTGGCTTGACCCAAGGCCTTGGCATGACCCAATGACGTCTTGGTGTGACCCAACATTTTGGCTTCACCCAGTGTCTTGGCTTGACCCAAGGTCTTGGTGTGACCCAATGACGCCTTGGTGTGACCCAATGGACCCCACGTCTTGGCCAACGATGTCTTGATGTGACCCAACATCTTGGCTTCACCCAACGCCTTGCCTTGACCCAACATATTGGCTTGATCCAATGACACCTTGGTGTGACCCAACGACGTCTTGGTGTGACCCAACGACGTCTTGGTGTGACCTAACGTACTGATTTCAGCCAATGTCTTGGCTTGATCCAACCACGTCTTGGCACGGCCCAACAGTTTGCCTTGACCCCACGTCTTGGCTTCACCCAATGTTTTGGCTTGACCCAATGTCTTGGCGTGAGCCAACGTCTTCAGCCAATGTCTTGGCACGACCCAATGACGTCTTGGTGTGACCCAACGCCTTGGCGTGACCCAATGACGTCGTGGCGTGACCCAATGTCTTGGCTTGATCCAACCACGTCTTGGCACGGCCCAACAGTTTGCCTTGACCCCACGTCTTGGCTTCACCCAATGTTTTGGCCTCACCCAACGCCTTGGCGTGAGCCAATGACGTCTTGGCTTGATCCAACGGTGTTTTGGCGTGACCCAATGACGCCGTGGCATAACCCAGCGTCTTCGCTTCACCCAACGTCCGGCCTCGACCCCCCATTTTGCTTTGACCCAAGGCCTTGGCTTCACCGGATGCTTTGGCTTGACCCGATGCCTCGGCTCCCTCCAGGTCTTGCGCAACTTCACCATCGAGGCGGTGTCCACCGAGGACATCCGCACCGTCTTCCGCTTCATCCTGATGCCCGAGAAGTCGCCCCTGCTCACCTTCCGGCC